TATTAGTAAGCTGTTATTCTTTATCATTACAGTTATCTTTATAGTTATTGTTGGTGTGAACGGGTTTTAAGAGTGCCACCCAAACTACAGTTTCTGCATTTACTTTATTAGCTTTTTGGCTTTTTTACAGTGCCTAGAAACTCTCTCTGTTTGTGAGCATCTACAATTGATAAATAACACAAACTAAACAATACAAAAATGCACTAAAATATTAATATTTATTAATTTTAACATATCTTTCAGCGCTATATATACCTAATTTACCTGTAATATAAATAAGATGCTAAAATTGTTACAGTAATTTACTGCATAAATAATGGGTCTCAACAGAACATGTACACTTGCCAGACGCCAGTGAACATTTCTAATCTGCTTCTCAGTGCCAGACTTGTAATACTAGACATGTTAATGGGTTTCAGGAAATCAGTGCTGAGTCATCATAACTCTATCACATATTAACTGTTTAAAAGAGAAGATTACAATAAGGAAATAAATGAACACTGAGAATGAGATTGACTGCACACATAATAGGCTATATAAGGTGTAGAGCAGAGTCAATGAATATGTGCAGTCCCGCTTCAATAATGCACAATAAACACACTGGTGGAATCAACAGCAAACACATCAAGTAAGTAAGTCAGATACAGCAGCTGAGTGGATGAACTTACATCTTCTCAGGAAGCTGCACAAGCAGGTAAACACAGGAGAGGCTCCTCAGTGAACTGCTGGAACTGGAATGATCTAGAAAGCGGCTCCCAGAGTGATGTAGTGATGTAGTGATGTGATGTTGCCCAGCAACACCAAGAGCAGCGTCTCTGATTGGTCAGCTCTCCCTGACCAGCACGATCCAGTCTGGAACTGAAACCGAAAGCAGCTTTCCTCTTGCTATGCGACAGCCTCTCCCAGGAGCTGACATGAGTTCATTTGGATTTGCATTTTCATTTACACGAGACACTGAGCTTATAAAGCCTACTACATTAGATAAACCTGCTGATGTAGACACACTTATAATAAAAGCCACCGCTTCTCTTTTGGAAAGCGCTATACACCTTCAAGTGTGCCGCAGTACTCCTGAAAAGTGAAATGGTTTCGATGGATGCAGAACAGCTCATAAACCCCGCCCTCTCCGTGTAATCTAATGGCACGTGACGCTTCAGATAACCTTGAGATGGTTTCTGTCATTATAGTTCGCTTTTATCACACTGATTTATAAAAACTCAAGTGTTCGTTTTTAAAATAAGTTTGGTTTTAGTTTGTTAAAAAAAAAAGACATTCTGTCAAAAAACAAGGAAGCAGTTACAAAACGAAAATAAAAGCAATTTAATAATTATTTTAAAAAATATGAATTATAAGACAGGGGTATATAATTAAACAAAACACATTACATTCAAAGGAAAAGATTGAACAACTTACAAATTTCAATTGTTTTTAAACCCTTTTTATTACATGAATTCTTCTAAATAAGATATCTTTAATTTAATCTTTAATTAATTTTTTGTGTTGTTATTGTATTATAATTCTATGTATTCTTGTATGTGGCAGCCCTTGTGTCCAAGACAAATTTCCTTAGGGACAAATAAAGTAATCCTAATCCTAACTGGAATATTATTAATTGTAGATAGGCTCCATTCTTTAATTGAAAGTAGCTCACATTTAGACAATTTTAAAAAAAGACAAAGCTTTAGAGACTTTTTCCTCATTGCTGATTGCGAGAGGGACCCAAGGGGCATCTTTTAAGAAAAGAGCAGTGTGATCTGCTATTAGCTGATCTTTATAACACTTTACGCAATGAGAATCCCTTTCAAGGCACTTTTATTAATATAATGTGAGAAAATCTGGGCGACAAGAAGTAAAAGATAGGGTGAGACAGGGCATCCTTGCCTGAGACCCATCTGAAGGTTGGATCTGGCTGACTTACCAAAACTAAACTAAACTAAACTACATTTCAGTGAGCGGTTACTGTTAGCATAAAGTGTCCTGATGGCATTATAAAAATTAAAAAAATCACCAAAACCAAATTTTTGAAGACAACGAAAAATGAAAGCGTGCTCCACTGTGTCTAATGTCTTGTAGAAGCCTAAAAAAGATTAAACTTTCCTCTGAAATCAAATCAGAATAGTCAAGGATGTGTTTTAGTTAGGTATTTGATGCTATAAAAACAGGAGGGTGACGTCATGATTGAGGCACCAGCGCACTTCTTTCGGGAGGAGATTGGAGCTTCAGCTTTAATTTCCACATTTCCATAACTGAAGATGAGGAATCATGTGATTGTGACACACTCAAAATATTCTTCTTTAATAAACAAGACAATGTTTGAAACCATGGGACTTGTGATTTATTTCCAACTGATTCTGAGCATTTTCCCTCCATTTCACAAGTCAAATAATGCCATCCATCTCCATTCCATGGATTTCTGCATGCTTTTAAGTGTAATATATATAAGTTATTTATATGCAATTTTCAATTACAGCAAATATTTTTGTCAGACTGAAAGAAATTAGTATTCTGTAACTGGAAAGATTAATAGAAATATAACAGCAACCTATGACTTGCTAAAGTTTAAGGTCAGATATGAATGTATAAGCGTATTCACTTCTTCTTCATGTGTTTAAGCATGAACATGACTTCGTATATGGCCATCTCGTATTCTTTAGATGCTGGCCTGAATGTTTTCAAAGCCTCCTCGTACTCTGCCAGGGCTGACTCGAGTTTGGCACGCTCAATATGCCCTACAATGGCTGAAATAATCACATCAATTAACACCCCTAACACAATGGAGGCAAATGTCCCTACTGCAACTTTAGCACATGTGCAAGTTATGTTTGTCAGAATTCTGATATTTTTCATTAGATACTTCACTATAACTGCGGCTGCAATCTGGCAAACTGATTTAATAGCAACTTTAACAACAGCTGAAAGTTTCTTAAAGTCTTGGAGTGACATTTTTTGTAGACTCTCATACACAGTAGGTTCCAGCTTCTTCTTCAGCTCCTCGTCAACCTCCTCAACTTTTGCTTGGATCTGATTCACACGTTTAATCATCACATCACAGTTCTCCTTGACAGTGGCTTTCTCGTTCAGGGTGATCGGGCTGAAGGATGAATGCAAGTGCTTATTGACAATCTCAGTGAGACTGTTGGTGGCTCGAAAGTTGCTTTTCATCAGCTCAATAAGCTCTTGACTTCTGCGGATAACCTTCTCCCTTCTTTCAGGATTTCCAGGGAAGAGCACATCACCCAAAGACATTTTCCTTTATGTTAGGGTCTTGAAACAAGACAGAAACAATTACATGAGAAAACTGGAATTACACAAACAGATTCAAATGACAGACTTGCGCAAGTTAAAGTACAATGTATTGTGTGTGTGCAAGTTTTTTGTGTTTGTTTATGTGTGCGTGTGTCTCTTTAATAGGTTCACTTCACTGTGAAGCGGTCGCTATGGGAACACATTCAGTGTGAAGAATGTCTGAACCCTTATACCATCACACCATTGTAGCGCTTAGCACCACTCATTGGTTTGATTAGTTAGAATATATTATGTAGGGTGCATAGAGCGCTGAAGAAATAATTATTTATTTATTTGTTTGTTTTTGTTTTGTAGGCAGTTTACTGGGAACAGGGATTTAGTTAGAGTGGGGTTTTGTTTTGTTTTATTCTTTTATTTGATTTAGCTTTGATTTTTTTTCCCCCTTCTTCTTTTTACAATCTCACCTAATTGATTGATTTTGATTTTGTTACCTCTTATTTGTAAATAAATGCA